CTATAGCCCCAGTTGTGGAATTTTAGCTTAAAATTTGAACAACCATGTCGAAATATGGACTGAAGTCCAGATATTTTTTATAGATGGTCTCATTCGTGTTGCAATGCATTCGCCTCACAAGTTGCAAAGTTTGTTGTGGAGGGTAGCTAACTGCGAACAATCGATATTTTGATTCTGACGGTGATAAAATCCCGGAAGTAACCAAACAGCACACCAGATGGCGAGAGGATATTATTCCGCTGCATAAATAATAAACTCGACTGTTGTTTTCAATAATTTGTAAAAAACTTTTTATTTTATCTGATTCTTTATGCAGTATTAAGTGGTATATATAGTCTTATTGATAAATTTGACGGAAGAATTAGGCCACATGCAGTTTGTAATGTGCCCAAATTCATACGCGCATGCGACCATTATCATCCGCCGGCAGAAGGACCACACCACCTCACATTAATTTTAGTTGTTGCCAGCTCACTAAGTAACCATGGATGAAGAATATGATGTGATCGTTCTTGGAACTGGACTAAAGGTGAATTTCAGTATTACAAATGTAGAAACTGTTAAGTTACCAGTCCTTAAATTCAACCAAAGGGAATAATTAGTGTGTTATGACTTATTTTTTTTATAGTAAATTCACGAGACAGATTAGCCACTTTAGAGGAGAAAAAATAATAACACAAGTTTGAAGTATATAGATGTCAGATATAAATACATGATATATATAGTATTTTATTCATAACCCATGATAAGGGTTTCATGAAGAAATGATCAGGATTTTCGAAACTCTTTGTGCTTTTCACAGAGTTATGACTTTAATAAATGTTTTGCACTTTTTGATATAATTTGTTTGGAAGTTTTACATGCCAAAAAAATATTTCCCAGGCATCGAACCCTGTGCCCTTTTTTTGAAATCCCTTATACATGTTATAAATCTCAAACAATTAAGTGAAAGACTTATTTTTTGAAAGAGCTGGTTCTAATGATTTTTTGAAAATTACCCTGAATGTTTATTTTTTAAGCATGTTAAGATCTCAAGATTTCCTGTTTTGTGTTCTGATTCAAATGATGAATCAATTTTATTGAATCAGTTCTGTTGCACATAATATTTGTGAGAATGCTTGCTTTATCATAATTATAGAAAATTTTATTTCTAAATTAGGCATACATTAGATTATTTACTTTTTCTAAAATTCATTCTGAAGTAAGGCAAACTTCTAAACCCCTTTTAATTTTCTTGACATATCTTGAAGGTACTTGGACACAGATTTGAAGTCAATATTTTCTCTATAATATTACGACTTATATATTTTAATAGCATTTCACACAAAAATTAATTAAAAATCTTATTTCATTTAAAAGTTATTAAAACTTCAAATTTTTTGGCGGGTTTGATTGACACATCCTTGCACTTTCACAAATTTTAGCCTTATTCTTAATCCTTAGGAAAAGTGGCAATCTTGTTGTGTATTAATGAGAAATATGAAAACTTTTATCCAGAAAAATAATTTTATACAGAGTAGAAATATTAGAAAGCAACACTCCTTCACAAGTATCGTCATGCCCAACTAAGAGTTGCGTACAGAGTTTAGCAAATCGAGCACACTCGTGTTATGTACACAGTTTTTGTGAACAGGACACGAGTTCTGTTATTGCTTATGTTTACAATTCACCGGTTGCGTTCAGTCGTCACAGTCTGCTTACCACAACTGCACGGACTGACAATATATTGTGTGTTTGTTTTGCTTCGAACATGTCTACTCTGAATTTTCTGGATTAAAGTATTAATATTTTTTATTTATACAAAACGAGATTGCCACTTTTCCTTAAGATAAAGGCCATTTTTATTTTATTAGTTGTTTTACGGATTTTTTTTTGGAAAATGTCCATTGGGTGGCTACAAAAAAAAAAAAAAAAAAAGAAGAAGAAGTGTTCAATGTTCAAAACTTTAATATGCAGCATATCAAAGCAGTTGGGGAAATCAACCTCAGAACATTGCACAGAAATGTCTTTCTTGGCATTCCTCACTAAAAGAGAATGATTCTCCGAGCAGAGAGACATATTATGTGAACAATGCTAAACTTTCTGTGTATGTCTATGACTGGATACGGGTGTCCTCTCACTGCTACGTCCACATTGCCACAGAAAAACACACTTCAGCAAATTTTACACAACCCCCTGTAAAATAATAAAAGTTTAATCAAATTCAGATAATACCTTTTCTTAAACAGTATTAAACAGTATAAAACTAAAATTCAGTGGACAATTAATGGACACAAATAAACTTACCAGAATGATAAGTCATCCCCATAGGGTTTCACATTCCTATGACTCTCATACAAACATTTTTTGTCTTAGAACATCCTGATGAGTCTGTTCCTTTTCCAAATCTAAAATTTAAACTTTAAGAAACATTTCTTTCACATCATTTGATAGATTCATACCTGCACAATGATAAAAAAATCTTTTATTTCTCTGACGTTTTAACAATTGACAACACGTCTTGTAGATTTTTAAAATACAGTCAAACATGTTCTTTTAAAAATGTCATAAATAATATATGAACTGTTAACTAACCATTAGATATAACTGTTTAAAAATTCGCCAAACCCTCAAAGAAAAGTTATGGGTGTCGGATGGAGCGCAAGTGATGACATCAGATTCGTTGGTTTTGGCTGTAATTTCCTCAACCACCACACTCCATTCGCTGATCAGATAACATCATAATAGAATAATCACCAGCCTGATCAGCTCATAAAAACCGTCATACATTTACTACTGTCCTTAAAACATTTATATTCTGTTTTGAAAAACCTAAAATGTTTCACATGACATGGCCGTCATACTTATTTCATCTCTGACTACAAAACGCTTGCAGAGTTTTTTTTAAAGGGTCAATAGTGGAAGCGTTTACATGATTCTGATCACAACTAAGTAAAATTCAAACAATGTACGGTCATTTCCGGATTTTTTAAATATGATTGAAGTAAAGTTCGATCGGCCATTATAAAAAAAGGATTGAATGGAATTTTTATTATTTTTCCAAAACTTAGAAAAATGGGGTCGGCGGATCCGTAAAACAACCAATAAAAAAATTTTGGCCTAAGAATAAAATTAATTTGTGAAAGTGCAAGGATGTGTCAATCAAACCAACCAAAAGATTTTAAATTTTAATATCTTTTATATGAAATAAGATTTTTAATTAATTTTTGTGTGAAATGCTATTAAAATATATAATTCGTAATATTATAGAGAAAATAATAACTTCAAATCTGTGTCCAAGTACCTTTAAATGGGAAATACAGATTGATATTTGTTTTTATGTTTTTCATTTTTTAGAACTTGCATGAACATAAGCAGTTAGCTCTTCTATCCTGTATTGTTGTGCTATATTAATAATTAATATCTAATACCAGAACTCGGTCTCTTTTATGCCTAAGTGCAAATCCATTCAAATTGAATACATTATTGTTCAGTTCATATTTTAAGTAAATATCTGAGGAAGAAGATATAGTAATCTACTTCCTACATTTATGGTTTATTTTTTTATCCTTAAAAGATGGTAATTATGGATGTAGGTTTAAACTGATTAAAATTGGCATCTTGAAAAGAAACTCTTTTAAAATGTCTTATCTTAAATCAGGTGATCATGTACATTTCACCCATGGTTAAGTAAAGCTGAGAAATAAGGAAGACTTTGGCAGCATGTTAAAATGTCTATGATCTGTGTTAACTTTCTTCCTCTCATCTTTAAAAGTTTATTTAAAAAAAAAAGTGAAATTGAAAAATAAGCATACAAGTTCCTGTATAAACATTTAATACAAAGATTTCCTGTAACATTTCATAGCCCTGAAATGAAATGTACCTTGCACTGTCAACAGTATCTGATAGACAAGTTGTTGACCTTTGATTTTAATTAAATTGATTTATCATGTTTATTTCCAGGAGTGTATTTTGAGTGGTATGATGTCAGTGAGTGGTAAAAAAGTACTGCATATAGACAGGAACAAGTATTACGGAGGAGATATCGCATCTATTACTCCGCTGGAAGACGTAAGTCATCATATAAACATGATAAAATATCACCCCGCTGGAAGATGTAAGTCATCAAGTAAACATGATAAAATATCACCCCGCTGGAAGATGTAAGTCATCAAGTAAACATGATAAAATATCACCCCGCTGGAAGACGTAAGTCATCATATAAACATGATAAAATATCACCCCGCTGGAAGACGTAAATCATCATATAATTTAAACATGATAAAATAGAAAGACAAATCCATGAAACCTGGGGCCTGTTTTACAAAAGATCTTCTTTCGACTAAGACCAAAATCTTCACTTAATCGTAAAATTTAGAAAAAATAATGATCCAGTTTGAAATTGCCAGAATAAAAAGTATCTTTCTACATATCTTTTAAAAAAGATGAAAAACATTTTCTATTTATTGTAATTAATAAAGTTATAAGCAGAATTAAATTTTGGTATTTGTCGTAAGTTCTTTAATTTGTAAAACGGATCCCTGATCTGCTTTGAAATTGTTGGTTTTTCATTTCCATTTCATGCCTGTTTTATAGATGTTCCAAATGTATGGAATGAAGATGCCTGAAGACCGGTTTGGAAGAGGCAGAGACTGGAACGTGGACCTGATTCCAAAGTTCCTCATGGCTAATGGTTTGTTATCTAGGTTACCTCTAATTCTTTTTTCTATTATTCAATAAATGTACATCCGAATATGTAATGCTAAGCATACTAAAATTGGTCAGAATTGCTTGACGTACATTTTAGCATGTTGAGTGTGAATTTAAGAATTTGCATTTATGGTCATATTAAATGTAAACTTTAATTTATAAGTTGAAAAACAGAGAAGTTATTTTACAATTCTAATTTCAATCGCCAACAAAAAACACAACAAGCATGATGTTTTTTTTTTTTTACTCTGAATTTTTTTCTGTGTTGGAACTCAATTCTAAGGATTCTTTCCATGAATTCTAATGAAGGAAAAAAATTAGATCTTATAAAAAAAACTGTAGTATAGATATTAACATGGGAACTATGTCTTTTATTTCAGGTCAGCTGGTGTAGTTGCTGATTTACACTGGTGTAACCCGTTACCTAGAGTTCAAGTGTTTGGAGGGCAGTTACGTCTGCAAGGGAGGCAAGGTGTATAAAATGCCTGCCGACGAGAAGGAAGCCCTCACTACAAGTAGGTTTTTACGTAACATTATACATCTATATGGACAAAACTGATGACTGAACACTGGCTGTTTAAAAATTTGAACAGTCTTACATAAAATTTTCCATTATGATCTCAGTTAAAAGGAACACATATGGTAGATGGTCCTTTTAGATCAGTATCTATGACCAGAAGCAAATTTTAGATACTAATGGAAGAAGTATTCATTAATTCATATTTCATCTAATTTGAGAAATAGATTTGACCTGAATATTTAAATAAAAAAAAAAAAAGAATCTGATAGTTTTCAAAGAAATACCGGGTATATGCCCGTCTAAGACTAAGGTATTGTATTATACACCACATAAATGTAGTTCTGTCATTGAGTGGAAATCATCTGATGTATTACAAACAATAAGATGCAGAAAGTCATTGCCTAATTTCAAGTTCAATGATTATATTAACTAGGGCTAATTGTAACGGGAACCGTTACAGATGTTCCCCAAACGCTCCCCAACTCCCTTTTGGTGCCATGCTCCCTTTAACCTTCATTAAAAACGACAAACTCTATGCATTTTACACTTTAACAACGTTTCCCTGAAGTATACCGAGTATATTCAAATTTTAGCATTTGCACGCGTGCACATGTAGATGCATGTGCGTAATGACCATATTCTCTTGTCTACACTATCTATATACATTAATATAATAAAATAATAAAGCATTTAATCCAAAAGTATTAAAAAATACGCTTCATCAAGTGTATTTTTGATTTTACCCATTTCACGTGCATGCACGTGTATGCATGTGCATGATGACCTTACCTTTTTGTAGGAATCCACTATGTCTATCTATGTTCTAAATCCGATCCTGTTTGGTTGAAAATCAAAGGAGTTATACCCATTTAAAGTTTAAGCCAATCAGATTGCAGCGCACGTGCATGCGCGTGTTTTCATGATACCTGCTATAATTATATTGTAGTATATCCTAATGCATGACTATGTTTAAAATTTCAAAGCATTTCTTCAAAAAACAAAAGAGATATTGAAATCTTTGTTTCAGCCAATCAGACGGAAGCGCACGTGCATGCACGTGGGTTCGTGCTAATTTGACCATGTCATATTATCTAGACTATGAATATATCCTTATAGAATGAGTTTCAAAGCATTTCAATAAAAAATGTAAAAGTTATGGCTATAATAAGTATATCGGTCATTTCACTCATTTCACGCGCACGCACGTGCATGCGTATGCGCGCAAAATGACCTTCGTTGTGCACACCTACACTTGACACCTATTAACCCTAAAAAGGTTTTAACTTAGTTGGGTGAACAGTTTCTGAGAACACTCGCGGACAAAAAAAGTACCGGAGAACAAAGAAGAAAAAAAAGAATAATAACTAGTGCTAATTGTAACGGGAACCGTTACAGATGTTCCCCAAACGCTCCCCAACTCCCTTTTAGTGCCACATTCCCTGTAATATACTACATATGAAAGCATTCATTCCAAAAGTATGAAAAATCACTCATTCAAGTGTATTTCTAATTTCATTCGTTCCAAATGCACGCACGTGCGTGCACGTGCATGATGACCATTCCTTCTTGTAGGAGTCCCTTATATTTATCTATGTTCTGAATCCCATCCTGTTTGGTTAAAAAACAAGGGATTTATAGCCATTTCAAGTTTCAGCCAATCACATTGCAGCACACGTGCATGCGCGTGATTTCATGATTTTTTTTCCTATATCGCATCGTAGGATATCCTAATGAATGACTATGTTTTAAATTTCAAAGCATTTCATCAAAAAACAAAGGAGATATAGTCATTTAAAATTTCAGCCAATCAGATCGCAGCACACGTGCATGCGCGTAATTTCTTGAAATTTTTTGTGTATCATATTGCAGGACATCCTAATGTATGATTACATTTTAAATTTCAAAGCATTTCGTGAAAAAACAAAGGCGACATAGTCATTTAAAGTGTCAGCCAATCAGATTGCAGCACACGTGCATGCGCGTGATTTCATGTATTTTTTTCTATATCATATTGTAGGATATCCTAATTCATGACTATGTTTTAAATTTCAAAGCATTTCGTCAAAAAACAGAGAAGATACTGAGATTTTTGTTTTAGCCAATCAGAGCGAAGCGCACGTGCATGCGCATGAGTTCGTGCTAATCTGACAGTGTCACATTATCTACACTATTAATATATCTTTATATAATGAGCTTCAAATCATTTCATTAAAAAAATGTAAAAGTTATAGCTATATAAAGTATATGTCATTTCACGTGTTGCACGCGCACGCACGTGCATGCGTATGCGCGCAAAATGACCTTCGTTCCGCACACCTACACTACACACCCATTAACCCTAAAAAGGTTTTAGGTCAGTTGGGTGAACAGTTTCTGAGAACACTTCCGGACAAAAAAGTACCGGAGAACAAATAAGAAAAAAAAGAATAATAATAATAAATAGTGCTAATTGTAACGGGAACCGTTACAGATGTTCCCCAAACGCTCCCCAACTCCCTTCTCGTGCCATATTCCCTGTAAGTTTCATTAAAGAAGGCAAAATCTATGCATTTAAGACGTAAACAACGTTTTGCCAAAAGTATACCAAGTATTTCAAATTTAAGCAATGCAGGCGTGCGCATGTGATTGCATGAGCGTAATGACGATATCATCTTGTCTACACTATTTTACTCATTTGCACGTGCACGCACATGCATGATGACCATACCTTCTTGTAGGAGTCAATTATGTCTGTCTATGTCCTTAATCCCATCCTGTTTGGTTGAAAAACAAGGGAGTTATAGCCATTTAAAGTTTAAGCCAATCAGATTGCAGCGCACGTGCATGCGCGTACTTTCATGACAATTATTATTATATATCATATTGTAGGACATCTTAAAGAATGCTTATGTTTTAAATTTCAAAGCATTTTGTAAAAAAACAGAAAAGATATTGAGATTTTTGTTTCAGCCAATCAGAGCAAAGCGCACGTGCACGCACATGCATGCATGTGAATGGTGACCATACCATCCTGTAGGAGTCCTTTATGTCTATCTATGTTGTAAATCCCATCCTGTTTGGTTGAAAACCAAGGGAGTTATACTCATTTAAAGTTTCAGCCAATCAGATTGCAGCGCATGCGCATGCGCGTGATTTCATGAAAAATTTTATATATCATATTGTAGTACATCCTAATACATGTCTATGTTAGAAATTTCAAAGCATTTCATCATAAAACAAAAAAGATATTGAGATTTCTGTTTCAGCCAATCAGAGCAAAGCGCACGTGCATGCGCGTGAGATCTTGCTTTTTTGACCATGTCATCTTGTCTATGCTTCTAATATATACTTATAATATGAGTTTCAAAGCATTTCATCAATAATTTAAATAGTTACGTCTGCATCAATTAAGTTGGACATTTCTCATGTTGCACGTGCGAGCTCTTGCAAGCACACGTGCATGCACATGCTTTCATGATAATTCTTATATTACAGGCTGTAGATCTCCCTAATGTATAACTATGTTCAAAATTTCAAATGATTTTATCAAAAAACAAGAAAGATATAGAGACTTTAGTTTCAGCCAATCAGAGCAAAGCGCACGTGCAAGCGCGTGCAATCTGGCTATTTTGACCATGTCATCTTGTGCATACTACTAATATATCCTTACATTATGAGTTTCAAAACATTTTGTTAAAAAATAGAAAAATTACGGTTTTATCCATTATATATTGATCATTTCAAGTTTTGCACGTGCGCGCTCTTGCAAGCACGTGCGCGCAAAATGACCTTGATTCCGCAAATCTACATAACATGTCTACTGACCCTAAAAACATTTCACCTAAATCGGATGTGTAGTTTACAAGATCATTCGCGGACAAAATTTTCCCGAGAAGAAAAATAATAATAATAATAATAATAATAATAAGAAACAGAGTAAAAACAATATGTTCCCCAACTTCGTTTGGGGAACATAATAAGAAACCGAGTAAAAACAATATGTTCCCAAACTCCGTTTGGGGAACATAATAATAATAATAAGAAACAGAGTAAAAACAATATGTTCCCAAACTTCGTTTGGGGAACATAATAAGGCAGCAAAATTCAAATTCTCATTTCTCTACTAAGATTTTTACATCGGGCTCGGAGTTGGTTTTCTTCAGAAAGACAGGACTGGGTTCAAGGCGACTAGGGGTACCACACCGGTAATTGACCAATCAAAATGAACTTAGTCAATTGTAGGTCCATACATTAAGCCGATTTTCCTTTCTTTTGAGAGTTTTTTTAATTTCCTTCCAGGCCAGTTTGACAACTCTGGTACCTGTGCCTAGGAAATTTTATCTACTCTATAAATAAATAAAGTTTTTTGACAGGAACTATTTCTCCAGGGCATAGGAGGCTACTTCCTGGGGTGCTTTTGTGATGTTTATAAAGACATGGAAAACACGTGGATTTGAGGGTAGCCCTGTTTGCATATGCAAATAAATCAGAAAATGTCGTGTACGTACCCTGGTTTTTTGGTGTCAGCTAATGTGACAGGTATTGTTTAACACCCCCTTATCAATATTTTTTCCTGAATTCAAACACGTGAGGTTTTACTGGAAAGAAACGTGTATTGCTTTTTAATATACCGAAACTCGCTATTTCTGGGGATTGTGTAATTCTAAAAAAAATTCAGATAAATTTCAATGGTGAAATAAAAGAAGAATGCTTGGTATTAAAATATTAATTCATATCAGTAGAATTGAATGCTATTAACGACATCTGGAGAAATAGGCTTTAAAAGGTTTATATCATATCTTTGTTCGTCTGCACTTAAATTTCAAACACGACAGAATTTGTAATTTTTGCCGTAAAAATTCATAATTTCTATATACTTTAGAGACTTACCGTAAAACTTTCAGGAAACTTTCTATGAAGTCTTTTCTGCACCTTAAGTGAAATTTTATGTCGATCCCAGGTGTTGATCGAGTTTCAGAGAAATTTTCTACGTTGTTATTGATTTTTTTTTTAAGGAGAAGGGGGGGGGGGGGGGTTGACTTTTTTATTCTAAGCATTTGTTAAAGTGAGTTTGTAAATACATCTACGAACTTGAGCTGGATTGTGACCTTTGGGTCAAGGGGTCAAAGGTCAAGGTCAAAGGTCAAGGTCATCAAAGCATTTCATAAAGAAATATAAAAGTAACGGCCATATCAAGTATACAAGTCATTTGATCATTGCACGCGCGCGAAGGTGCAATGCATGAAAGCTATATCATCGTGACTACACTTTTAATGTGTTTCTATTCTTTGAATTTTGAAACGTTTCATAAAAAAAAATTACGACTATATCAAGTAAATCGGTCATTTAACGCATTGCGCGCGCACACGTGCATGCAAGTCCTTGCATTCACGTTTGATAGTAGCATAATGTAAGAATCCGTCATATCTATTCATATTCTAAATTTCATCCTGTTTTGTTGAGAATCAAAAAAGTTATAGGCATTTAAAATTTAAGCCAATCAGATCGCAGCACACGTGCATGGGCGTGGTTTCTTGAAAACTTTTATATATCATAGTTTAGGACGTATTAAGGTATGATTATGTTTTAAAATTCAAAGTATTTTGTCAAAAAACAAGTAAGATATTGAGATTTTTGTTTCAGCTAATCGGAGCAAAGCGCACGTGCATGCGCGTGCATGCATGTGCATGATGACCGTAACTTCTTATAGGAGTCTATTGTGTCTGTCTATGTTCTAAATCTTATCGTGGTTGGTTGAAAAACAAGGGAGTTACAGCCATTTGAAGTTTAAGCCAATCAGATTGCAGCGCACGTGCATGCGCATGCTTTCATGACAAATGTTATACATCATGTTGTAGGACATCTTAAAGTATGCTTATATTTTAAATTTCATACCATTTCGTCAAAAAACGGAAAAGATATTGAGATTTTTGTTTCAGCCAATCAGAGCGAAGCGCACGTAAATGCGCGTGAGTTCTTGCTAATTTGACAGTGTCACATTATCTACACTATTAATATATCCTTATATAATGAGTTTCAAAGCATTTCATCGGAAAATGTTAAAGTTATGGCTATATTAAATATATTAGTCATTTCAGTCATTTCACGCGCCCGCACGTGCAGGCGTATGCGCGCAAAATGACCTTCGTTCCGCACACCTACACAACACACCTATTAACCCTAAAAAGGTTTTAGCTCAGTTGGGTGAACAGTTTCTGAGAACACTCGCGGACAAAAAAGTACCGGAGAAGAAATAAGAAGAAAAAAGAATAATAATAATAATAATAATAACTAGATCTGTTCTCGTTGCGAGCAACGAGAGGTCTTCCGTCCGATTCAGAAAGAAAAAAAAAAACGTAAAATCGAGCTGAAAATTGATTCATAATTTTGAAGGAGGATTGAACCCAGGTCGCCAACGTAAATGCGCATTTTTCGCTTTTATCCTCAACGAGCAAACCATTAAGCTATCGGGAGTACTGTTCTCCATATACTTGTGTATACATTTGCAACAGTACACCTATCTAAGAATTATAAAAGGTGGTCTACTATTCATAATATCGCGCAAAACACCACGAGTAAATAATCGCGCATTTTCTTTTGACTGATCTATTAAATAGGTATGATAGCTTCAATGAAATTAAATAAATAAAACGTTCTGATCGCCTTTATTTTTATTTCGTTAAGAACGTATACTAGTATTTAACACATTGTGCACATTACATATTGCATCTAGCTTAGTTACACTAAAGCAGTGAAACGGAAATTAAGTTTACAGATTGACACGTAATTACAACGTACTACTACGTGAAAGTCCAAGTAGTTTTCTACATTTTATGTATCCTTATGTAAGAATGGTTTAGTCAAACGCTCAGCTGCCTCCATAAACCCCTACTCGCGAAATGGCGGAGTTGACAGAGGCAGACGCCATCTTGGACCCGCTTCAGATTTTCAAATACACATGTATTAATATCTAGAGTTCTGAATAACCAATATTCAAACAACTTATATAGTAAGCATTAGTAGAAGGGTCTCTATCAATATTCCAAAAATAAATGAAAAATATTGAAAATCAAAAAAGTTAGAAAATACGAATTTTTCAATTCGCTTCTCCTAACGACAGGAAGTACTGACGACGAACGAAAGTTTGCGTCCTGGATGGTAAATATCACAATCTTTAATCCCTGAAAGTTTCATGTTGATATCTTATACCGTTTTTGAGTTTAATCGCGGACAAAATGTGATTTTAATTTCAGAAAATTGTCCGTAACGTGGCACCGGAAGTGAGTTTCCAAGAAATCTCTCGGATATAATAAATTCATGTAACAGCACATCCGTCCTGAAATTTTCATGTAATTTCATCCAGTAGTCTTTGCGAAATCGCGTGCACAAAATTAGAAAGTCAAAAAAATAAGAAAAATAATAATAATAATAATAAGAAACAATAGAATCACTATAAGGTCTTCCGTGAAGACGGAAGACCTTAATAAGAAACAGAGTAAAAACAATATGTTCCCCAACTTCGTTTGGGGAACATAATAATAACTAGAGCAAAGCTCGTTGCAAAGCAACGAGTAGGTCTTCCGTCCTGTTTGACCGGAAGTTTATGCTACTTCCCGTGTGACCGGAAGTGTTGACGACGGACATAAAATTAATTTTTATGCTCCCAGTGACAGATGTTACCCAAAAACTTTTCAAGAACGGTAAAAATACGCGTTTTTCGACTATTTCCGGTTTGGCCGGAAATGACGTCGACGGACGTATTTTGACGACTCCATTAGATTAAGCTGGACATTTTGAACAACTTTGCTTCATGGACGTATTACAAATTCTCAATACTTTTTGAGATATAAAGGAAAAACTTTCGGCCCCTGTAGACCCCTAATTTTAGGGGCCAGCCCTTTTTCCGAGATATCATTTGGAAGAACTTAAAATTCTACACTTCTTTTGTTCTATATGTTTAAACAAAATATTTCCAGGTAAAAAGATATCGTAGAAAAAGTGCTAAAAATTTTGAAATTCGCGATAGGCCTATTTTCGGGCCATACCGAGCGCCGACGTGCACCGCTTCCGGTAAAAATAAAATACATTCCACAAATCTACAGACATAGATCTACTAGACCTGAAAGTATCACGTGTCTATCTAAAGTCATTTAGGAGAAATCGTGCGGACAAACTGACCCTTAAAAAATCAATTTTGTGCTGATAACTCCGGACCGGAAGTGACGTCATCAAAACAGAAAAAAACGCATAAGGTTCAAGTGATGTTACATAAGTCCTGAAAGTTTCATGGAAATCCATCTAGCCGTTTTCGAGAAATCGCGTGCACAAAATCGGTAAGAAAAAAAAACAATAATAATAATAAAAGTGAAAAAGAAACCTAAGAATAACAAGAAGGTCTTCCGCTAAAGACGGAAGACCTTAATAAGAAACCGAGTAAAAACAATATGTTCCCAAACTCCGTTTGGGGAACATAATAAGGGGGAAATGTAGGGTCAGCATTTGTACCAAGCAGTTCCTTACTTCAATTCATTCCTTGGAATACATGTATAATTAAAAGCTGTAGACTTAGACACCATCATACATTTCAGATTTGATGGGCATTTTTGAAAAGAGGCGCTTCAGAAAACTGATGATCTTCATCATGGAATTTAATCTGGAAGACCCTAAGACCTGGCATGGAATCGACCCGAAACAGAGCACAGCCGAGGACCTGTACAATAAGTTTGGGGTGGACAAGAACACAATTGACGTAACAGGGCACGCCCTGGCTCTCCATCGTAATGATGCGTAAGTGACTGTTTCATTGGTGTTTTGATGTGTGCAGCCTGAGTTAAATTAGATCCTTGTATGCCATTAAATTCTTAAAGTCACTGTACAAATTTGAATTAGATTTACGTTGGGCTGCAAAATTTTTATAGTAGCTGAACAAATTAAAACAATTGCAGAGACTTGCCAAGATCCTTTTTTAGGTCACCTGAGTAAACTCAGGTGACCTATTGCTATCTGTTTTCGTCCGTCGTCGTCCGTCGTGCGTTAACATTTGAACATTTTCAGCTTCTTCTCTGCAACCACTGAACCAATTTCAACCAAATTTGGCTTCTATGGGTGAAGGGAAACAAAAATTGTGAATTTCATGATCCCTGCCCCCCTGGGGCCTGAGGGGTGGGGCCAAAACCACTAAAATTAATGCAATCTTTAAAAATCTTCTTCTTTGCTCCTGGACATCAAGCAGTCAAACTGTTTGCATGATTGTAATCAGCATTGAGAAATTCATGGCCCTGGGGTCAGGGGTTCTAGTGCTAGGGCGGGGCTAAATAAGTATATAGTGAAAATGCATTATTTCTTTGAAAATCTTCTTCTCTGCTCCTGGGTATTAAATAAACCAACTAAGTACATAGTTATGATGAGCTAGAGTGTCTCTACCAAAATTGTGAATTTTATGGCCCCAGGGTCAGGGGTTCTGGTGTTAGGGCGGGGCTCTATTAATCATATAGTTAAAACACATGAATTCTTTAAAAATCTTTTTCTTTGCTCCTAGGTATTAAATAATCTAACTAAGTGCATAGTTATGATGAGCAAGAGTGCCTCTACCAAAATTATGAATTTTATGCCCCAGGGTCAGGGGTTCTGATGTTAGGATGTGGCTCTATTGATTATGTAGTGAAAATTCATGAATTCTTCGAAAATCTTCTTCTCTGCTCTTAGGTATTAAATAAACTAACTAAGCACATAGTTATGATGAACAAGAGTGCCTCTACCAAAATTGTGAATTTTATGGTGCCAGGGTCAGGGGTTCTGGTGTTGGGGCGGGGCTCTATAGATTATATGGTGAAAATACATGAATTCTTTGAAAATCTTCTTCTCTGCTCCTAGGTATTAGATAAACTAAGTGCATAGTTATGATGAGCAAGAGTGCCTCTACCAAAATTATGAATTTTATGGCCCCAGGGTCAGGGGTTCTGGTGTTAGGGGGGGGCTCTATTGATTATATAGTGAAAATACATGAATTCTTTGAAAAATTTTTTCTCTGCTCCTAGGAATTGAATAAACTAACTAAGTACATAGTTATGATGTGCAAGAATGCCTCTTTCAAAATTGTGAATTTTATGGCCCCATGGTCAGGGGCTCTGATGTTAGGGGGGGGGGCTCTATTGATTATATAGTCAAAATACATTAAATCTTTGAAATTTTTTTTCTCTGCTCCTTGGTATTAAACAGATGAACTACCTATATAGTTATGATGAGCAAGGGCCCTAATCTTCCAGAATTGTGAATTTCAAGGCCCCAGGGTCAGGGTTACCACAGAAGGGAGGTGGGTTGTACTTTATATACTAAAAATGAATGGTTTGAAATCTTCACTTTGGTATTAATCAAATATTTTTGAAAAGCAAGGATGCCTTTTCAAAAATTGTGCAATGTGTGGATCTAGGGTCAGGGGTTCATGTGTGATGGGGGCACTACTGATTATTGCTGAATATTACTGATTAGTTGAAATGCATTTTTTGTTCCCCTACCCTGCCTATGGGTATTAAGTAAACAAACTAAGCAACTGCTAAGTGTATTGTTATGATGATCAATGGTGCCTCTTTTAAAATTGTGAATGCCATAGCATATGGATTAAAACATGAATCAAATTCAATCATTGGAAAGTTGTTGCATAATGCTCAGGTGACCTATAAGGCCCATGGGCCTCTTGTTTTGTTACATATATTAGATTTGTTATACATCTCATTTTTGCCAGGTATTGTTAAATATTATGTTGACTACTATATATATTTATAAATATAATTTTCTTTTCAGTTATCTTAAGGAGCCCTGTTTAGATTTTATACAGAGAGTTAAGTTGTATCAGGACTCTATACAGAGGTATGGAAAGTCCCCCTTCCTGTACCCCTTGTATGGACTAGGAGAGCTCCCCCAGGGCTTTGCAAGGTAGGACTCTTCACCAAAGCTGACTTTAGAGAGTAGTAATGTATAACGATGATAAAGCTTTAGTTTGCAGTTATCATTAAGTTCATTTTATATTAACCATTGAAAAAGATGATGAAAATGGTGAAAAAAAATATTGTCAATAATTCATACTAAACTGATTGCTAATACTTGCCTATCATTAGTTCTAGATATGGATATGTGATATACATGACATTGTATGTTATACAACAGATTTTAAAAAGAGCTTTAATTAAAAACTTAATCAAAAAAATTTCGAAAATTACATACGGAACTTTAATTTTTTCTCAAGGTTAAGTGCAATATACGGAGGAACCTACATGCTGGATCGCCCCGATGCCACAGTGGTCTACGAAGACGGTAAAGCTGTCGGTGTGATGGCTGCTGGCGAGACTGCCAAGTGCAAAAAGGTCATTTGTGATCCATCTTATGCAAAAGACAAATGTAAACATGCGGGTCAGGTATGATTCTTCATTTAAATTTATATATTTTTAAAAAATATTATCTTTTAAAGAATGTATGAAAAAAGACTTTTTTCTGTTTAGTGTACATACTGTAATAAAGAAAAGTAGTTTTGAATAATAGTAAGTGCAGGTATTATGAAATCTTTCTGCATTAAAAAAGGGCATATCTGAAGAAGTTCGTTTAATTTTGGATTTATATCATTTATTTCCCGTTTTAGAAAAAAAGAGACAATTTTATTAATAAAATAATAACCATGTTTCCCTCTTTAGACTGAGAACTGTAATGTAAAGGAATTTTTCTCACTTTATCACAGGTAGTGAGAGCAATATGTATCCTGAATCACCCTGTACCCAGCACAAATGACATGAAATCCGCTCAGATCATTATCCCTCAGCACCAAGTCAACAGACATTGGGGTAGGTTTATCTCAGTATCTCACTCAGATTGAAATATCTCAGACATTAGGGTAGGTTTATATCTCAGCATCTCAACAGACAGTGGGGTAGGTTTATCTTAGTATCTCAGATCATTATCCCTAAGCACCAAATCAACAAACATTGACATAGATTTATCCGGTATCCATACATGTTAACTCTACCGATTTAGGCGGGAGTCTACCGCTTTTTTAATCCATCTCCCGCCTACCGATTTTATTCGTAAATCTACCGCTTTTCTATAAAAGTTTTGTCTCAAGTATTTTAGGTTCGCTTGGGTATCCATTTTTGAAGCCACTCGTCATGAAATCTCGTAAGATATCGCGTGATTTAACACGGAATCATACAAACGCTTTTTGTACCGGGGATGTGTACATAGATTTCAAGCACGTATGTCACAACGACAACAGCACAAAAATCAGTGATTACATTGGTTACGATAAATTTCGAGGACATTACTGCAATGAAAAAGGAGAAATAGTATTTTAGAATTGGATGAAAACATTAGACATCGTCTATAAAAGCACAGGAGCTCGAAATTTTATGAATAAAGTCAATAGAAATCACTCGATTGACCAAACGATGAGGCACATTTCTACTTTCGTTTTCGATCATCGCGGGAACTCCAATTTTGTAACGAAACATAGGGACTAGTTTTAGATCTAGACTAAACTTTGTCATTATTTGTTGTGTTTAACAATTGAATGAACATTCAGAAATATTGTTTCTAGGCTATATCAGCAAAGATCACTCTTCAAAAGGCTACGTAGGCAATCAAAGCAAAATGATAACCATAAAAAATATTTGAATATGTATAATTTATGTCAAACTTAATGTGTTTCTGATATTTTTTTGCAATAGATATTTCATATTAATTATTGTATTTTCATTTAAGGCCATACATGTATATAACATGCAATATATCTTCTGAAATCCAAGCGTAAAGCAACGTGAGCACAATGCTACCGCTTTTGTGGTCAGAATCTCCCTATTTTTCATCACAATAGGTTAACATGTATGCCGGTATCTGTATCTCTAAAAAGTTGTGTTCATCATTAGAGTGCTTATCTGTAAAAAAAGAAAAAAAATTCATGTGAAGGGTGAAATATATGAATTTTTAAAAAATAAAATATAAGAGTTTCTTTTTATATACATTGTTTGATTTCATTTAAACTTGTCAGTGTTTTGTTCAATTATCTTGTAGTTCATGTAATAGATAGTAACTTTAAACCCGTCCTCTGGTGTTTAAAATTGCATTGATTAACAATTTGAGGTTTTGAGATTTATCTGTAAATTTCTTAAAATTTCAGACATCTACATTGGTGTGATATCACATGAACACATGGTGGCCGCCAAGGGCTTCTGGATAGCTAGTGTCAGTACTACCGTGGAAACAGAGAATCCAGAGGCGGAGCTACAGCCAGGGCTAGACTTACTGGGACCAATCGAACAAAAGTAGGTGTTGTCTTAATATAGTGGGAGGAGCAAAGATCAGTTACATTGTTAGCTTTAAAATATTGACAGATATTTTTTAACCCTGGATTCATGATAATGCAAGGTTGAAGGGTAGCTTGTGTTTGCACACTAGGGGACCTTCAGTTGGCCATTTATCTTTCTGACAAACCAGAGGTCAATAACTTTCAAATCTTATGTTGCTGTCTTATTTTCAAGTCTAAAATTTAAATGTGTTTCTGATGTGTCTGAACTTAAAATTTTTTTTTATAATATTATAAATTAAACTATGATGCTTCAAAGATTAATACTGAGCTACAATAAAAAAAGATGTTTATTTGTCCTTCCAAAACCTACTGAAAAAAAACTTAATATACTGTTATTTTTTTTCCAGATTTGTGTCTGTTCATGATATAATGGAACCTGTAGATGATGGAAAGGACTCTGAGGTATTACATCTGGTTTAGTGTTCATAACAGATCTCACAATTTTCTTGAGAGTTATCTTTCCTGCCTTAAAGTGAGAAAATGTTAAAACAGACAATATTTTTTTTTGCTCTGCCACCTGAGCAAAGGCTTCCAAAGTGACCAATATTTCAAAAAGATTTTAACATGCAGTATTTTGAATAAAGCAAGACATAAAAATCATTGTTAAAAATTCTAAAGGGGAAAAAAAATCCAATCCTCAAACTTGCACTAATTGCATAAAAAACAAGTGTTTAAACTAGTGAAGGACCATCTGATATTCCCTCTTGCTGAACATTTGTATATTTCTTTTATTTTTTTAGATTTTCATCACAAAGTCCTATGATGCCACATCCCATTTCGAAACAACATGTAAGGATGTATTGGAAACCTACAAAAGGGCAACTGGTGAAGAATTCGATTTCTCCAAGATCAAGATTCCAGAAGAAGAGGAGAATAATTAGTGCTTTTATTAATCTGGCACGGTGCCAAACTGGTATATGTGTTCGTTTTGAATGGACATGTGGCAGTGTACTTTTTTCCTTGTCTTCTTTGGTATAATATTATGGACAAAGGCATTGATATTTGCATACATTAAAACGTTATGAGCACCCTTCATTTAATACCATTCCAAGTTTATGAGAAGAAGAAAGACCATTTTTTATTGGCTGGTATCAAAGGTCACAAAGTGTCAACTCTTCCAAACATCATGAATATTTATGAGAAGGAATTGGGTGTCCTTTGCATTTGCGCAATTTAATAATTGATAAAAGCTTTCTTGTCTTCACCAACACTAAGTTGCTTGCTTGATTAAGTAAATTATTTTTATGACTATAAAACAAAAGGAAGAGGGAGGTGTTTTATGTAGAATGCATATTTTTACTTTCCAATGCTTTTAAAATAAATAGTCCAATGCATTAGATGTGACTTTCATGTCCAAGAAGTTATGTTTGTTTGGTGAGAGTTGTGATGTAAATATTGTAGCTGTAGGCTCTATCAAATATCTACTGAAAGTATGAAAAATCTAGGGAGTATGCCATTCTCAAACACATGCATATTCAAAGCATAAAGACATTTTCACAGTATATCTTATAAATGCTATTAAGGGGTAAAAGGAAGAAATTGTACATCTTTTTTACTCACTAAAAATTAATGTTGTTTCTTGTTCAAGTCTTGCTAAAACTTTTGACAATTTAAAGAGATTAATAAGTCAGTCTGTGCTTAATGCAAAAATAATAACATTTTAAGAAAATCATCTTTCCAGAGTAATCATTATAACAAAAGTCTGTCTTGTGAATTGAAATCATGTGTATGAGCTATATATATGAGATTTATTATTAAGTGTAATACATGTATGTGATATTTATTTATGGCTAAAAAAATCTGTGACGTTTCCTCATTTCATTGCTTGTGAAAACCTCTTTTAAAGTATTAATTGCCATTAGTAGTGAAGAAAAAAAAATATATGTAGGTTAAAAAAAGTTTTTTTTATTAAAAATAAAGTATACATTGGTATGATATAACCTAGTCATTATCATGAGTATGTCACAGGTTTATTAAGACAACTTTTTCTGAGACACGATTATCAAATATGAATAAATCAGTAACCATTACCTGTGGTTTTCTTTTTTATTCTGTCATGTTTTTTATATTACCTGTACTGGATTCCTGAATTTCTTAAAAATCATTACTATCAATCAGTCCAATTTTCCACTGACTTCTAAGAGATAGACAAAGTGAAGCATCCATTGACATCTATTGCAATGGAGAATCTCCTCTGACATTTACATGAAAAATGTTGCGTCAAACTCAAGAACATTTGCATACATGCAAAAACAAAATCTGCATCATTTTCAATCAAAAAAAAAGAATTCTCTTATTGCTTTCAACTCTTCTATGCAAGAGATCTATACACATTATTTCAATGCAAAATCAGTGACTTGATAAATGCACGGTTTTACTTGCTAATTCCAAGAAACACGTTTCCCCTGTCATACTCTGAAGATAAAGGGGAAAACATTTTGCTTATTGATAAAATTGATAATCATAATCAAATGTCATAAAAGTTAATAGAAGGTTGTTGAAAGATCTTGCAATTTTATCTGTAGTTATAAAAATGATTTTCATGAGAATTTGTACGTTCCTTTAGCTTAATTTTTGATTAATCATACTATCAATATATAGATATTGGACGAATTTCCCATGAAACAAAGACGCATAAGAAGTGTATTCAAAGACGCTTTCTATCTAAACAACCAAACGTATTATCCTATATTTGTTTGTTAGGAAGCTTAGATACATGTATATTCTTTCCCAGCATGATGCACAGCAATATTAATTTCAACAAGCAAATTCAAAGAATTGTGGTTCCCCGCTTTTGGTGTCTTTTTGGGTGAGATGTCATTTTTTTAATGACATTTTGTGTCTAATATGAACGCCCTATCATAAGTCATCTATATAGAAATTATCACTGAACTCCAAGGTCAAGGTCAAAGGGTTAACGTCCTTGGTATCCACTGAAAAGTCTTCTCAGAAGGATTACATATGTGAAGTATGAAAGCCCTAGCCCTTACCATTCCAAAGTTATGGTCAAGGTTAAAGTTTTCTCATAAGTACAAAAAATCTCCAAGGTCAAGTTCAAAAGGTCAAGATTGTTGGTACCAAATGAAAGGTCTTGCCACAAAGAATACATATGTGAAATATGAAAGTCCTGGTATCTACTGTTCAAAAGTCGTGGCCAAGGTCAAAGTTTTTGAAAAGTAGGTCAAACTCCAAGGTCAAGGTCCAAGGGGCAAAGTTTTTGGTATTCAATGAAAGGTCTTCTCACACGAATTATGTATTTGAGCCGTCCCATGCAAAAAGGGCCCTTACGGTTAAAATTATCAAAATTGACTTTTCAATGGATTATGATAGCACACATTGCAAAATAACCAAATATCAAGTTTCATTCAAATATTCCAACTAATTACTGAGATACAGGTAATTAAAGTTTCAGAAAATATTGAAAAGATGCCAAAAATGACGTTAAAAAATGACGTTCTAAATGACGCTTAATCCTTGAATCATTTTATATAGGTATCTGTTCCCGGATTGAAAGATCTAATAAGCTTTTATCTGAAAACATTCACACAAATGATACGAAAAACATTTGCTTTTGTTTTACATCCAATACTTGAAATAAATCTTTTCGTAAAATTGTTACAAAACTGTTACAACCGATTCACAAATTTAAAATACATTTGTATATAAAGCCATAACGGAAAGAAGACATAATTTGGACCTGATATCAGACAAGACATGTTAGTACAGTTAGGAAGTGTCAGCATTTTCGCAATTTACAGAAATATTGTCTCTCTGGTAATTCAAAATAAACATGAATTTGAAAAAATTGATTTTTAAAAATCTTCATGAAGTAATTTTTTTTTAATAAAACCACTGTCGTGATCCCGTGCCGGATTGGACAAAACAAGATGGCGGCGGGAACAAATCGAAAAAGGTAGGTACCTGAGATTTCGGTAAATATCCCCCGTTAACCGTCAGATATGCTTGATTCGAAGATACTGTCGAATTGCTAGTAAAATGTTTAATAGTGTGTTTAATTGCTATTTTTCCTATTATCTCTTAAACTTGAACATTTAACGACTGAAGACTGCAGAATTTCTGCGATTGAGTTTGAAGCGGCATGGAGTTGTTTTTTTCTTCGATTTTGACAGTTTTATGCATCCAGCAGCAGGAGAGTGGCTAACAAATGATACTTTGGACTAGTTCTAACCTGGTGTTATATGTTTATTTTTTATAACCCATTTTATTACAAAAATATTTCGATTTAAAAATGTTGACATGTGCTGGATTGGAATCGGTTAATTTTAATGGAAATTGTGCCGGATTAGACTGCATTTTTGGTGCCGGATTGGATGATGTTCATTATAGTCATTTATGTAATAACTTTTTTCTCTTTAATTTTTAAGATGTGGATGCATCATTTAATAAAATATACGAGAAGGAGGAATTTAAATAATATAGCTTATCTTACCGAAGTAAGATTGTTATCAGTTACAGTATGCCTCCCCCCCCCCCCCCCCCCCCCCCCCCGATTAAAAATCTTTTTTTTTTCCTGTTCCTTTTTACCTCAAATTTTATTGTACCCATATTTCTTTTACAGAGATCACTGTTTTGGTAAACCCCAAAGAGCTCGTGGGGCCAGAAAAAAGGAAAAGAGGAACCGTTAGTAAGCCAGAGGAATCGTCCGCAAAACCCTTAACTTAAGCATACGAGAATTTCACCATGCACAAGAGGCGAATTCGAAATTGCATTATGTTACTTAGTAGGGCCTTTCCGTCAGAGGTCAGAAAAACAGCCTCGAATGTATCATCATCAACGGGTGTTAAAAATTCATACATTTCCTGTTTATTTGAATATAGGATTGAAGGGTTTAGAAGTCCCTTCTCTTGTATATTTTAGGTAATATCATTGCAGTCAATAAAGTTAAACTTCATACTCCACAGATAAGAGGTCTTCAAACATTTATTTCAAAGTTTGTGAAAAGGGGGGTTGTCATGGAGTCTATGTAGTACATGTACATTCGAGGTTATTCTTAGACTACTAGTAGGAAAAGGCCCAAGAGTTTGCCATTGGCGAAATTCGATCCTACTTAACAGAGTACCTACGTACGCTAGTACAAAAGAGTACTTTAGGGTACGTTAGTAAAATTTTATAATTTAACGCAAATAAATTGCTTTTTGTATGTTTTTTCTAAATTAGTTTAACATAATAAATATCTCATTTAAATAAAATGTTTATGTGTTCTTTATTTTCGAAGTTAGGCCTATTTTAATTTTTTGATTTAAGATATCTTGATCCCGATATCGATGTAATTTAACTTCAAATATTTCGTTGTTAATGTGTAAAATATTACATTTTAAATAAGCAATTAATTTAATTTTTGATGAATTAAAATTAAGTTGAAATTAATAAGTCTGAAACATTACTTATGCTATAGTAAATGTTCATTGAAGGGCTGGATGGCCCCAAACTTTTTGTGATATAAGGTAAATGTAGTATTAAAAAATGTTACTGAAAGATTGATTGATTGCTTGTATATTGTTTAACGTCCCTCTCGAGAATTTTTCACTCATATGGAGACGCCACCATCTGCCGTTGGAGAGCTGCAAATATTTTGTCCTGTATTCGGAACTCAGGGCCATTGAGCAGGGAGGGATCTTTTTCGTGCCAGTACTTACTGCGACACGGGGCCTCGGTTTATACGGTCTCATCCGAAGGACCGGTCTCCATCCCGCAGTGGGATTAGTTGGCTTTGAAATTGAAATTTCTCTGGCTGCCCCCCCCCCCCCCCCCTTTAAAAACGATGCAAGGTGGATGTACTGTACAAAACCGTGAATATGATTGAGTAGAATATAAGAATTTCACATTTGGTTGTATTTCAGAAGACAAAATCAAAATGTTTCTTCTGTTATACGGCAAATTAAATGACCTTACCGTAAAAATTGTTTACAAAAAAGTGTCAATGGTAACAAAGGCATTCCTTAATCTACTACGAGAAAGAGATATTCAAAAAAGACGAAGAAAATTTCGGACATTTTTTGTTAAAATTTAATAAAATAAGTCATTAACATTTTTTGTGTCTAACGATAAGAAAAAAAAAAAAAAAAAAAAAAAAAAGCGTGCAAGAAAAATAATATAAAAAATCTTTGAAACAATATGAATGAGAGAAATCAGTACAATTTTTTTGAATTTGAAATTTTCACAGATATACATTTGCACGGTCTATCTAAGAGCCTAGAAATATTTTGGTCAGTGTCTGTTCCTCGGACTTTCTGAATTTCACTATGCCTGTTCTTGATGTACCGTCGTAGGTTGTACTTCCACCTGTAGCAGCTGCCTTAGATAATGCATCGATACCTCTCCGCTGCTTCATGATCAATTCTTATGTGCTTGTCAGGTGTCATCTCTACAAAACTCCTGAGTACAGATGCTTAGATAAGCTTTATTAAATTCCTCCTGGTATTTCATTGAACTATGTATCCATAGCTTAAAAAATAAAAGAGAAAAAAGTTATTACATAAATGACTATCATGAACACCATCCAATCCGGCACCAAAAATGCAGTCTAATCCGGCACAATTTCCATTAAAATTAACCGATTCCAATCCAGCACGTGTCAACATTTTTAAATCGAAATATTTTTGTAATAGAATGGGTTATAACAAATAAACATATAACAACGGGTCAGCATTACTCCAAATTATCATTTGTTAGACATACTCCTGCTGCTGGATGCATAAAACTGTCAAAATTGAAGAAAAAAACAACTCCATGCCGCTTCAAACTCAATCGGAGAAATTCTGCAGTCTTCAGTCGTTAAATGTTCAAGTTTAAGAGACGATAGGAAAAGTAGCAATTAAACACACTAGTAAACATTTTACTAGCAATTTGACAGTATCTTCGGATCAAGCATATCTGACGGTTAACGGGGGATATTTACCAAAATCTCAGGTACCTACCTTTTTCGATTTGTTCCCGCCGCCATCTTGTTTTGTCCAATCCGGCACGGGATCACGACAGTGAAAACACAGATAATGATTTTGCAGCGGTT